CACGCCTGTAGCCTGTAATCCCAGCACTCAGGAGGCTGAGGCAGGAGGATCACTGTGAGTTTGAGAACAGCCTAGGCTATATAGTGAGTTCCAGATCAGTCTCAACTACATAGTGAGACCCTGTTTCAAAATACAAAAAACAAAACAACAACAAAAAGAATTCAATGACCATTAATTTATTTACTCTTTGTAAGAACCTTCTAAATAAGTACTGTTGTTGTCACCACTCAATTTACATGTGAGAAGGTTAAGGAACAGAGAAGCGGAGAGGGTTGTCTGGAGACAAAGAGCTGGCCAGTTACGGGGTTAAAGTGTTTTACTTCTACCCAGTGCTCTTCCTGGATACAACACAGCTCATCTAGAGAGCCCCACAGGAGGAGTCACAGATCTCCAATTTGTAGATTGGGACCCAGTGTGTTCATTTCAGTAATGTGCTTGACATCATACTACTCTTAGTGGAAGAGATGTGAATCCAAACCCAGTTATTTGGAGTCCAGAGAGTGTACAGCAGCAACTGAATCTTCAGAAGGTACACTTGCCAAGAATATGCCATCAGAAAGGGCTGAGCCCCAAAATATACCCAGATCAGCCTCTGAACTCCATGGATATATGATAAAGTATGCGTTCACCTAAGCCTTTCAGGAACCTGTTTAAAATATTTCTGATTGTAGGCAGTAATATTCATAAAGGCTGGCATTTATTATGTCCCAAGTATCAGAATATATGTTCATAGATTTTTTCTGCATATTATACTCAGGCATTTTGTGAAAACAATCCAATATATAGATGAATATACAGAAGGGGGAAAATCATCATAATTTCACAGTGCTAGACAACCACAATTATCATTCCCAGGAGTATCTTATGATCGTCTTTCTCCACACATCTTAAACACGCACCATATGGCACAATAATATAATTTTAGATAAATGGAATCAAACTGTAGATGCTACTTGTAACCTGCTTTTATCTATTCATTCCTTCAATCAAAATATTTGCTGAAAATTTAACATTTCTAAAATGATAGACCTGGAACAATGTATTATATGCATTTTCTTGTTTTGTTGAACACAAAAGTCAGTCTTTCTATGGGCAACAAGTTGTATCAGTCAGGGTGGGCAGGATAATTCTGTACTAACAAATTAATCTCTGAAACTCAGTCATTTAACAAAGCAGGGATTATTTCTGGCTTGCACAACTGGCTGTGGGGCCAGGGTATTGTAATTAGTTATTGAGCAACTCATGTCTTTTCAGTCTTACGGCCACTGGGGCAGGGAAGAGTGTGGGAGAGTGCATAAGTCCTCCACAGCTTTGTTCTACCTGTGAGACAATGCTTGGCTCCTGCTGTCTGACCCTAAGTAGTCATATGGTGCCACCTAACTTCGGGAAGACCTTCCAGGCGCATGCCTGGGACAAGCTAGGAGGACCAGCTCTAGTAATGTGTCCCACAGGAGAATTCTGCTGTAAATATGTCATCAGTCATTTGACCTGTCTCCCCTCAAAGTGTACCTAGATAGTTACTACTGTTTCTTTGTTATAAGCAACTGCAAGCAGTAAAATCCTCCAATAGGTGACACGTACCCTGATCCATTCATTTCCCAGTTTAAAATCCTGGAGGAGAACTCACTGAGTGAAAGATGTATCTAAGATACACCTGACCTTACACTGCTCCCTCCCTTCAAAGTTCTCCTGCAAAAGAGAGAGGCTGAAAGTCCAGGAGTAGTTGCCCAGTTTCCTCAGACTTAAGGTTCTGAGGCAAATCTACCACTGAGAAGAGCTCATGGGAGAAGTCACCCTTCTTGGGCCACAGCCCATGCAGACAAGTGGGTGCCTCCCTCCGCTTGCAGATTCATCTGGCTTTTCGACATCCAGACCCATTTCAGCATTGCAGGGAGGTGGGACGTTCCACCTCCACACTCTGGGGTCTCCTGAGAGGGGCCTCTCTCATCCACACCCATGGAACCTCCCCCCTTAGCTGTGGGGCAAGCCTTAGTGCAAGTTTCCAGATCTGTCTTCTCTCTTTGTACGGCGGCTCCTGCTACCTTTACTGATGTTACACCCACTGCCCAGTTGTCTTTTAGGAATCGAGTACCCCAAGCCCCCAGGGGCGGCGGCACCTTCTGCACTGTGCACCACCTAGTGTCAGTGTTTCTTGCAGTCAGCAAAATAATGCTCGAAACCGAGAAAAGTAATGGGGCCTTATATTTGCACTTCTTAGATTAACAACTCTCTATTCTGTTTAACTAGCCATTGTTCTCCTCTTCTGCTAATTGTGTATTTGTATCTCTGGTTGTTAGGCCTCCTCTTTAGACTGATAAACTTTCCTAAATATCCTTCTCTTTTGTTTGACAGGACTGTGCCTCTCTCAGATGTCAAAGGGAATTGTTTATTTCAGCATATTAGATTTGAGAAAGAAAGGCCATGAGTGTAAACAGGGTATTGAATCACCAAATGGGACTGGTTGGGGTGTTGGTCAAGACAAAGATGGAATGGGAATTTAGCTCAGTTGTTCTGCCCCCTGCCTTGCAAGTGCAAGGACCCTAGTTCATACACAGTACCAAAAAAAAAAAAAAAAAAAAAGAAAGAGAAAGAAAGAAAGAAAGAAAGAAAGAAAGAAAGAAAGAAAGAAAGAAAGAAAGAAAGACAAAGATGGCAACAACAAACTGTCTGGGTAATTCTTTCTGCACGCAGGAAGACTCACATCATGACAGAAGAAGAGCCTGTTGCAGTTGAAGCATTTTGGATAAAAAATAACTTTTAGGGCTTTATAGTAGTATTTGATTACCATTCTCCCCTTGGCTATTCTCTTTCATAAACTCTCCTTTTTTTGGACAAGTTCTTGTCATATCACTCCAGACATGGAGTTAGGGTTTAGGATTATGCTGTATTGTTTTTAAGATGCTGAGTGAAAGATTGCCAAGAGAAAAGATTATATTTTCCTTTTGAACCTGAGAGATGGAAAAACAGCAGCGAAAACAGACTTTGCGTAAAGAAATTGGGAGAAAATGCAAGACAGCTAAGGACAAGTAGTCATAATTTGCTGAAAACTAAACCCAGAGAGGAAAACAAATCAGTTGAAGGTGGTTTAGATTCAGGAGTAAAATGAAGACTCACAGATCTCCTTGGTTGGCTATATGGTCCCTGGAGAACTGGGTTGAGATTGATTCTGAGACAAAGTCCACACAGAGGAAGGGATGGTTCCGTGGTCACTGCATGGTGGCACCAAGGTCGGGGAGGGAGAAGAGGTCATAGACTTTCCGTTCTCTCGCTTAGGCTGGGGCTCCCTACTGGGGAAAAGACAGGACCTTTGCTGAGATGAGGTGGAAGAAGGTGAATACAGTCTCTTATGATGTTCTAGGGAAAAGCAAGACTTCCTAATGCAGGGTCTCCCCAGCCCAGGCTCCTGGTATCAGCTTAGTTGATGAATAATATCTGAAGAAGGGCACAAAGTTGTTTTAATTTATCTGATGTTGGGATGTAGCATTATTTTCAAATCTCTAGAGACTGTAGACTGGTGTCGTGTGAGTTCACACACACAAGATGAGAAACGCTCCATCTTCTCTGAGGAGATTCACTTATAGTTGAAACACATTGGTGAGAAATGAATGTGGGTTTTGTGGTGCATAAATTACTCTCTGATCATACACTAAGTCCTTGAGGGACTTTCATTAATCTTTTCATGCCAGTCTTACACTGTTTTTATTTCCAGACATCTTAATAAAGGGAAAACTAGTATATCAATTATTTTATCCCTTTCACATACATTTTTAGTCCCTACTAAGTACGAATTATTTTGCATTGAGACATCCTTGGAACCGTAAGAAGGAACTTGCATTCACTCTTTGAGGAACACAGATAATACCACAGGAAGCCAAAGCAGTAGAAGCAGCCCCATAGAAGAATTGCTATTCAAATCACACTGATAGCAAAACCTACAGCAGGGGAGGGAGTGCCCCCCAGAATGCTTCACAATGGAAATAGGAATGAAACAGGGCTAAGCATAAATAAGAAATAAGGAATTGCATGTTCCTTTTGGATTCGGAAAGGAAGGCTCGCAGCAAGATAAGAATGAGCATGTTGCCTCAGTGGAGAGGACGGTTTGAGCTGGGAAATGATAGGGAGATGGTGGGGTTCATATCGTTTTGAATGTGTCCTGAGCTAAGTTGTGTCCACAGCCCCACAGGGGGCTCCCAAACTCTGCCAGTGCCCAGGGTTAGCCCTGGGGGGCTCGTTCCAACTGAAAGATATTCCTGCAGTTGGTCCTTAGGCAGAATGTGTTCCAGAATTTCCCCAGATCTGTATTTTCCAAACTTCTCTAAAGTATAGGAAATCTTTTAAGAAATCAATTCCAGCCATATTTTTTTCTTTCTAACATTTATTACATATTGGCCTGAAAGAAAATCTCTCTATATGCAGTATTTATTTTGATGTAACAATATGTAAAGAATACATAAGAATGTCATGAATTGCAGAAAGCGCCTCATACATGAATGCATAATATTCAATTATTTTCAGGGGCTGCATTTACCAACTTGAGACTCACGATGATGTATGTTGCCTGTCAAATGATCGCTGGACCATCATGTATCTTTTGGTAGAATGTAAATATATATTTGTGATAGCTAATGTTTATTGTCTATTAAATATTTATGCCACACAAATTTATTCCTCTGTATCCATGACTACTAGAAGGTCTTTTTAAATGAAAATCAGTATATCAATATTCCTACACTGTTTTAAATTGGACCAGCCAAAAGGCAGAATCATTCAATGTGTAGACAGTAAATAGTATCTTCAATTTATTTTAAAAATAGCAACTGGACTCTGAGTCCAGTTAACCATTTTTTTTTTGTGAGGTCTTACTTAAGAAGAGTAAAGTATTTTAGAATATATATTTTTATTTATTTACAGATGTAAATGATAAAATTTTCTTATTTTTGTCTCCTAAAGCAAATTGTAGGAAAAAAACTTGGTGGTACTATTTTTGTTTTTTGTTTTTTTTCTTGGTATCAGGGATTGAACTCGAGTCCTTGCACTTGCAAGGCAGGCCACTGAACCACTGAGCTAAATCCCCAGCCCACTACTCTTATTTTTGGACAGGATATCACTATGTAGTCCAGGCTGACCTTGAACTCATTGTGATCCTCCTGCCTCAGCCTCCTGAGTGTTGGGATTACAGGTGTGTTCTACCATGCCTGGCAGGTACTAGTCTTGATATGAAAGATTTGACCATCAGTAGTTTCCCTTGTATTAAATGAATAATGTCATCTGAAGTGGGACAAATTTATGTTCACAAATATGCACCCAGAATGCATAAGAATGAATTTGTATTGAACAAGTCTACGAAGTTGATGTAATTAATGGTCTTGAGAGATGATCATGCAAGATGATGAGCCCTTCTTGGTAACAGTGGCACTCTAACAACATCTCTCTGGTGGGTTTTCTTAATCCATATCATAACTAGCATTTACAATCTGTAAGACACTTTAAAGTTCCAAGCACCTGCTCAAAGTGGTGGCACATGTCTATAATTCCAGCACTCTGGGAGGCTGAGGTGTGACAATTGCAAGTTTCAGCCTAGCCTGGGCAACTGCATGATTTAGTGAGACCCTGTCTCAAAATAAAGCATAAAAATAATGGGCCAGGGATCTAGCTCAGTGTGAGGGACCTGGGGTCAATCCCAAGTCCTGAAAACAACAATAACAACAACAGAGTCCAAGTACAACAATGGTCAAAGTGACCCCCAAATTTGAAAAAACTGAGGTCCAGTGGGTTCAGGAGCTGTGGTAGCTGTAACTGAGTCGTCATGGACAGAGCTGGACTTCATACCTAGGTTTCTTGATTTCAAACCCGAGTCATTAAACAACAACAAAACCAACACAAGGACCATTGCAAAGCAAAACTCGTCCACCCCAGCGCCCCCTTAGAGAGGAGGTGCCAGTGTGGGCCAGGGGTGGTGGCTCTGGTCTAGGGAGCACAGACCCATCATGCAGTGAGTCATTTATCTGTCACTGCTTCGGACCATGGCACAGTCTCCCAGGGCTGACAGGGCCCCTGCATCTCCCGTAGGATATTTCCATCAGCCTGGCGCTGTCTTCCCGATCAACAAGAACAGGAACAACGTGGATGACAGCGGTCATATGCCAGATACTTTGCATCCCTTTCTTCTAATCCTTAGGGCTACCCTGGGATGTGACTGTCTGCATTCTGCAAATGAAAAAGCAGAGCTGGAGAAGTGAAACAAATAAGTCACATGTGTAAATACTGAATCGTTTCTCTGGTGTGAAAATCTATAATTGTATGTAAGATCCTAATGGTATAATTGTTAATGTGAAATAGGAAGAAAAGGGCTAAAGGTGTAAGGGAATTGGGAAGGGTAGGAGAAAGGGAATAAGGGAAAAGAAAAAAATGAGAAAATGTAAATAAAGTATTTGTAAATAGGGAAGGGAGGGCAGGGATAAGGGGAAAAAATGATAACCAAGACCTCTCATGTAAAGGTACAAGGCCCCAATGATGAATGGAACTGTACTGTATACCTAAAATGTACCAACAAATTCAATGAGAAAAAAATTGAAATAAAAAAGAAAAAGCAGAGTTGGAGAGATAAGGCCACTTTCCCAAAGTCACAGTTAGAAAGTAGCATTGCTACTCTTTTAAATCCAGTCTGAGTCTAAAGCTAGACAGGTAAGCATCACGTTATTGTTTCTGCCCTATAGAAGCAGACGCAGCACCGTTCCGTGTCAGAGCAGTGCAACACAAGGATTCGTATCATTACTCCCCAACAAGGACAGGTGCGTACTCAATGGCAAACATTAACAGTACACACCCAGACATTCATACTTGACAGTTGCAAGTACTTCACGCAGTTCTCAGAATTACACTGTGAGCAGTTGTGCTGAAAAATAACTAAGTACATGCCAATTTGTAGACTAAAATTGTCCACCCTTTTCTTCTCAATTGCATGGGCTATCAGAAAAAAATGTTGGGATCTTTACTGTTGCTGAAACTGTCTGTTTAAATCAGATAAAGAACTTGTGGCATTTATATATTATTTTTCATTGAGTTTGTTGGTACATTTTAGGTATACAGTACAGTTCCATTCATCATTGGAATCTTGTACCTTTACATGATGTATCTTGGTTCTTATTTTTTCCCCATACCCCTGCCCTCCCTTCACCTTCCACCCTTTTGTGGCATTTATATATTATTTTTCATTGAGTTTGTTGGTACATTTTAGGTATACAGTACAGTTCCATTCATCATTGGAATCTTGTACCTTTACATGATGTATCTTGGTTCTTATTTTTTCCCCATACCCCTGCCCTCCCTTCACCCCTTCCACCCTTTCTTATTTACAAAGACTTTGTTTCCATTTTTTGCTTTTCTCATATTTTTTCTTTTCCCTTCTCTCCTTTCTTCTACTCTTCCTTCTTCTGTTACTCCTTTAGCCCTTTTCTTCCTATCTCACATGATCAATTATATAATTTGTACCTTATTTAAACTTTTAGTTTTTCACACCAGAAAAATTATTTGGTATTTGTACATGTGTCCTAGTTATTTCACTTAAAAGTATGGCCTCAATATACATCCATTTTCCTGTAAATGACTCTAGTTTCTCATTCTTTATGGCTGAGTAGTACCCTCTTTTATAGAAAAGCCACATCTTTATCCAGTCTCCAGTTGATGGGCAGTTGGGCTGTTTCCAAATCTTAGCTATTAAAAAGTGTACTGCTATAAACATGGGTTCACATATATCACTGTGATATGATTCTTTTAATTCTTTTGGAAATATACCCAGCAGGGGAATAGCTGGGTCAAATGGAACCTCTAATCCTAGTTCTTTGAGGTATCCCCATATTGATTTCCACAGTGACTGTACCAGTCTGCACTCCCACCAACAATGGAGAAGTTCTCCTTTCTCCCCACAACCCCACCAGCATTTGTTATTGGCTGATTTCTTGATAGTAGCCATTCTTTATGAGAGGAGTTGGAATCTCAGGGTTGTTTTCATCTGCATGTCTTGGATGACCAGTGATGTTGAGAATTTTTTCATATGCTCATTTGCAGCTTTTACTTGTTTCTGAGAAATGTCTGTTCATTTCAGATGCTCATTTTTGAACTGGGCCTTCAGATGTGGGGTGTCTTGATTTTTTTGAGTTCTTTATATATTCTAGATCCTAGACCTTTGTGTGAGGAGCAGCTGGTAAAATGTTTTCCCACATTGTAGGTTGTCTCTTCACAGCACTTATATTTAGACATCCAGTCTTCCAAATGGATCTTGACAAACACAGGTTAGGTGTAAAAAGTGAGCCTTCCTCCGTGGTATAAGAGCTTGGAAGAGGATCCTGATGGAACAGAGCTAGGAACATCAGAAAAGGGTAGAGCAGTGATCAAGGAATTTGGGCTGCTGAGATACATGTCTTCCTGACTTGATAGCATTAGTATCATCCGTTCCACAAACAGAGCAACAGAGGACAGACTTTGTTCTGCTGCAGTTTTCAGGGACTGTGGTGTCATCAAGCATACCTACTCTGAGGACTGTCATGTACATTGTCTGAGCACCCTGCCTGAGGCAGATGGGAAAGGGCTTGTCTTCCATTACCTCCTTTTGTGGTCACACCCCGAGCTGATCCATCTCTTTCCTTACTATATTGACTTCTCTCAAATGCTCTTAATTTCATAGAAACATTTGCATTAGTTACAGTAAATCAAAATAAGTCAGTACAGATTAGTTATGGCTATTGATCTAGACACTCTATATCATTCCCATGAAAACATAACAAGGATTGCCCCAAGGTTTTGTGGGAGCTATAGAGTGGTGGGGTGGTAGGAATAAGATTAAGTTCTAACTCATATCCAGCATCCTGGTTTCTTTCTCTAGCCTGGGTAGTCTTGAACTTGAACAGTTTTTGCATCACTGTATGTTTCCCCTGAAACTAACTTCAAGATATATCAGGCCAATGAAACCAAAACATGCCAAGTAACTTGTGTCTCAACCCTAATGAGACCCTGTTAGGTTATTAAAGCCACACCTTTGTTTAGTTCTTTGAAACCCTAGAAATCAGCTTTCTCTTCTTTCATATGATTTTAGGGAATGGAAAATAGCCAACTATTAACAAAAGTGACAGACGGACCAGTGCAGTCCAATAAAACTCTATGCTTTGATGGGAATGTTTGATCTGTGCTGTTCTGATGCAATGGTGTCTATTCTGTGTCTATAGAATATCAGCAATAGGTTGGCATAACTGAAATACTGAATTTTTAATGGAACTTGATTTTATACTTCAGTTTAAGTTGAAATCACCACATTGGTGATGCATAGCTCCTGCTAATGCATGCATGGACTGCCTTTCATATGAGTAAACTTGTTCCAAGACTAAGGGAAATGGTCAAATTTTGTTTCTGCAAATTAAAAGACACCATCTTGGAAGCAGTTGTCTGGCAATTACATCTAGCACTTCATGTTTAGCTCCTGTATTCCAGATTGTCTCGTTTCAGTGGACAGAGCAGAAGGGCAGGGTGTGTTTTTTCCACAAAAATATGATTTCTTGGGTATTTTTGCAGTTTGCTATCAGAATCTCTCTGGAACCTAAATTTGCTTGCATCTGAGGTTTCTAATCAATATGCCATACACTTAACTGATTTTGGAGTCTTTTTACGTAATGACTATAACCTGTGATTTACCACTAAAAGTTTGTTTTTTTCCTCCTCACAGAAAATAAGTAAACAACTTTCTCAAGGGGAGGACTGTCAAATGAAAGACTGTCAAATGAAAGTTTTTCAAATGAAAGAAAGATATTGCTATTTGGAATCATGGAAACTCTGTATTAGTTAGTCGGGCACTTCCCCAGCTATTTCTGGTTTATTCCTTTTTGGTTAATTTCTGCTCAAGCCCTCTCGCACTTGGATGGGCCCACGTGACCATTAGGCCAGTGAGCTATGAGAAGAACCTACTAAGACTGTTTCACACCACTCTCAGCGCCAGCATTTAATTGTTGGTTCAAGACACCTAGGCTCTCTCTTTCCGGTGCACAGCAACTGGCAATGTTCAAGATGGCACCGGATCCGTCAACATAGGAACCCGGATGCTTAGGAGGGGCTGAGACCTCTTGGTGACTTGCCAGGGAAAATCAACATAGAAAAAAAAATGCAAACCTTTGGTATTTCAAGTCAGCTGACTGATACAAGTCTAAATTGGTGAGCTAAAGTAAGGGTTTGCGTAGAAGATAGGGGATTAGGCCAAAGGTAGCCAGGAAACTCAGAGAAAAGATGAATTGTCTCAAGCTGAATTTGACCCTGCCTATGAGACTGCATAAAGACCTCAGAAAGCTTGCCCACAAGTGTGAGCCAGGAGCTTTCGAGGTTTTCTAAATATCCGTGCAGCCTTTATTTATATAATAAAAAGGTGCTGAGTGTCAGTGATGGGGCCCAATCCTTGCAGAATAAATCAATCCCTCACTACAGCCATGCAGAGAGCCTCTGGATTTCCATCCCAGAGAGACTGATGAGCTATGTTTTCATGTACGTTTCTTGATTCTGAAGAGGAATCCGAGCAATGAAAAGATAAATGGCTGGAGGTAAGTGCTGGCAAAGACGAACTCAATTTCCTGACATTCCTAGTTCTCATCCTAAAACTTACATTTGATTTCTGTGTAAAAATTGTCATATCGGGAGATCTAACAGAATCCAAGGCCTATGGTGAGAAAATTGGGTTCTTTTAATATTAACCAATAGTTTTGTTAATGCTACCTCTTATGGGGAGCCCCATAAATTATTCTTCTTGATAAGAAAACAGAAAAACTGTTCTACATCACATTCGGTTCTTTTGGTCTAATATAGTCTTAGTGGTTGATTGCTGTCAATAACAGTAATGATAATAATTAATACTGATTGTTATAAAACCATTCCTAGTAGCCAGGTATGACAACAATAACAATATTAATAATGATTAATGGCTCCAAGTGTTTTCTGTTCCCGTGAAATTGTATTATTATGTTATCTCATTTAATCACAAAATACAGATTTCTGTTTGAGGAGGAGAAATGATCTCTGAGGATTTGGGAAACATGTTCAGGCCCATTTGCCAGCATGTGGTGAAGCTGATATTTGAAGCTGGCACTATATAATCCACTGACACGTTATGCACCATCTTTGTAAGTCAAAAGTCTCATTTACCAACCTTCATGTGAGGTACACCTGGATTGTCTTTAGCTAAACTTTCCACATAAAATGATTATAAATTAAAAGAGCAGAGAAACAAAAGAAGACGTTAATGTCTATACATTATAATCAGATGGATTCTCTAAAGGTCCATTTCCATGCAAAGGTACAAAGCTGAAAGAAAATATGAGTGCCAAAATAAAATGAAAATTATGAGTTTAGGTTACATAATATTTTTAAATGAGAAAGAAGTTCTACAAGTTTATTATGTGTTCATATATGTGGTTTCAAGGAGAACTTGAGTTGGATCAGGAGTAACCCTTCCTAAAAATTTCTGTTTAATGTGTCTTTCACTATTTACGGAGATGGATTAGGAGGCAGGACACTTATTTTTGTGTACTGACTCTGGGCAATTATGAGACCCTCTCATTCTTACTCCTTGTGAAATGTGAGGTAGGCTGTCTCCAGTGTCATCCTAGCGCTGATATTTCTTTACGTCTCTTCCAGTCATGAGATTCACGCCTGAGCCAGCCCAGAATTAGCCCGGGGCATTGATACTGTAGAAGACCATTCTAGAAGCACATGGTAGGTCGCATTGCATCCATTTAGCTGCCCTAGAATTGCCCTTTCCAGAATTCCTTCCTATTGAGGGCTCCAGGCTGGCGTGAGCCACAAAAGATGCAGATTTCGTAGGCGACAGTGGAGTAGCCGTCTTCATCCACCCAAGGAGGCTGTGCTGGCCATGCAAGTCGGGCTCAGCTCATGTGGCATATTTCCACTTGCAGGCTCGCCCTGTGGTGGTGTGGCAGCTTCTGTCATCTCAGCCAAGTAACAGGAGTTTCTTCACAAGTTGGGAGAGGCTCCACTGCAAATTAGGGTACAAGCAAGATTTTGTTTCTTAGTTTGAGAACCATCAGGAACTTCAGTTTCTCAGAAAATAATGTAGGAATCATGAGGCTCATATATCCCCAACTACATGGTGCTGTCTAATTCAATTTGCTCTTTTGTTCTTTCACCTGGAGAGTATGAACGAAGTTCTGAAAGACTGTGGAGGAGGAAAATCCACAAATTCAATCTTAATAGCTCACAAGAAAAATAAACAGAATGATAGTGATCATGATAGAATCTGGGGCACTCGTGTGAATGTGATTCAAGGAGCTGTTCACTCTCAGGTGCAAATGGCAATTCAAGTAACAGGGTGATCTTGCTACATTTCACAGACGTGGTTTGTGTGTAGAAATTGTGTTTTACTTGTAAAAATTGCAGCGACCTCCTCTTCTGGTGTCTAGCTTTTCTACAGCCCCTTTTATCAGTAGGCCAAGTGGACCTTATAAACAGCTCCCTTGGCTCGCCCAGTAGAGGTGAGCCAAAACCCTGAAGGAACTGAATGGCGTGCTGAGATTACTACACGCATCGTCGAATAATAGTAACACATTTTCCTTTTTTCTAATATCTGGCATATTTTTGGTGTCTCCTTTGAACCTGTGGCCTCCAGGGATGGTTAACTTCTATGTGACAACTCGGGGGGACCAGGGTGCCCTGCTGCTTGGACAGATAGCCATGTTGGTGCTGTTTGTAGAGGCTTTCTTAAAAACACGATTAGCACTAAAATCAGTAGACTTTGATTGAATCAAGATTACCCTCAGCAGAGACGGGCTCCAGCCAATCAGTCGGAGACCTTAAGAGTAAAGACGGGGAAGACTGAGAAGGGAATTCCGCCTCCCCTTGACATGGGTTCAGCCCACGTTATCCGGTGGAATTGCTGGGACGGATGGAGTCTGGATTTGCTAGCCCACAGTCTGCAAGTCGGTTCCTTAAAATGATCCTACCTGTGCCACTCATGTCTGTCTGTCTCACCTCTGACACCAAGCTCTCTGCTATGGGTAGTTTCTCTGTGAACCTGACTTACGCGGCTCACTTTCTCAGCGTGACTCTCTGAGTCAAAAGGATGTAAGAGTTGGACCCCAGCTTTGCCATTTATTAACTTCAAAACTTTTGGGGGGCCCCTCCCCCAACTTTTGTCCTTTTTAGTCTGGGTTTGCAGTACGGAATGATCACGTTTGTCACGGCCAGTTGGTGCATGGACACAACACATCTGATTTGTTTTACTTCTTCCTTCTCTTCCTTCCATCTCTTGGTCCCTTTCCCATTCACAAAAGATCTTTTCAGTTTCTCAAATACTCCTTAAAAAAAACAAAAACAAAAGCAGCCATGAAATGGGAATGATAAAAGTGAACGTTTACCACACGCCAGACACTTTGTATGTGGCACACACATTGTTTATTACTCACAAAAGCCCTCCTGGGCAGAGGGGTGCCTGGCCACACGGGCATCTTACTGTCGCTGTTTTCTGTGACGAACCGAAGGGTGGGCGAACAGCAGGTTCCAGGCTCGGGCGCGGAGGAGGACGATGGGCCCCTCGGAGCAGTGTGCTTGGTGCTCTGGGCTTTGGCCCTTTCTCCTGATTTATCCCAATTCCAACACTGGCATTAACACAAAGATTTTTTTGGCCTATTTAATGGGGCTTGCCAGTTACAGATGCAAAAATGGCAAATGATTCTTATTTGCTTTTCTCTGAAGCCAATTCCAACTGCAAAATTCCCTTCAGTTAGCTAAAGGACAAGCTCAGGTCACGTGTGGAACTGAAGATATTCCAGCTGCCTTTTTCTCTAAGATCAAAGTAATTTTTTTGACAACGCTCGCCGATGAGTGCAAAATGATGCCAATGACTATAGTTTCTCTCCATGAAAGCATGAGTATTTCAGATGACTGAACCCATTTCTTATCACTGTAGCAGAACCTGATTCTCTTATTCTCAGGGAGCTAAAAGCTATTGGACCTCTCACTTCCAATATGTTCAGGAAGTCAGGTTGCTTTCATTTCTGTCAGTATTTCAGCACCCTGAGGGACCCGATGGAAATTTTACAGGGATATCTGTAGGTGGAAAGTGGGTATCCCGTCACCATATTGGTATTACACTTGCTAGCTAGTGTTTCTCTCTACAGTCCTACTCTATTTTAAATTTTTCATATTTAGGGCTGGATGACATACCAGAGGGGTTCGATTTCTCTACTTAAATGAGAACTTAGCTTCCTAGGTATTTCTTCCAAATCTTCAAATTGCTTTAAAAGCCAAACCATAAATCATAGCTATTTTCAAAGTCCTCCTGTACCTTATTCCATAAGCAGCATTTCTCCATGAGTTACTCACAGTGGAGTTCATGGGAATGAATGCTTCTACTTGTTCTTGGACATGAGGTCCTGGCTTTGCCTGGCACGCCCCCTGAACCGCCTTGCCTCTTTACAAGTCTTTGCTGGGACCCCGCTTTTAACCAGCCAGTTACACACAAGCCCTTTTGCAGAATCTGACATTGCACATCCTTCTCTAAGATGTCAGCCTGTGGTTGTTAATGCTGGAGCTCGTGTTCTCATGTGCTGTCCATGTTATGTTCCACTCCAAAAAGATGCCACTTATTTTTTAGAAGAGAAAACTCTGATGAAGAGCGCATTTAATGAGATGCATGCTGTGTAGACACACCCACTCCAGCATGCATTTGGTAAGCACTTGGCATGTGCTGGGTCTGCCTCAGGTACTGATCATGTGACTGACAGCAAGTGGACAGCATGCAGCTACTCTCAGGGATTTCCATCCCAATGTTAGAATAGAAAAAGCAAATTAAAAAGGAGGAAGCTAATCGCTTATATGACAGGTGGCATGAAGCCAATCGAATGGAGTTGTGACATGGTGAGGGGAGGGGCTGATTTCAGCAGGGCGGGCAAGAAGGTACAGGAGGGGGAGGCAGTGATGTTGCTGAGAGGCAGAGTGGAGAAAAGGAGCTGGGTGAGGAGAAACCTGGCACTGCCGAGGACTCCCAGGAGGGAGCAGCTTGCAGAGCAGGAGGAACAGAAAAGCCAGAAGAGAATGACGAGGGGAGAAGTAGATCATGAAAAGGCTTATAAACTGCGCTATGGGGCTGGAGGTTTATTCTCTGGGTCCCCACCAGAAGTTTTTATTTAGAAAAATCACTCCGATAACGCTGGTAAAAACTGAAAATGGAGGGGCAAGAGTGGATCAGGGCCACTGAACAGATGGTTGGTGAGGAAAGGTGATAGTGCCTGGGACCGAGCTGGCCACTGCGGACGTGGAGAGATGCAGAGGGGTGTGAGGTGTGAGGCCGGGCTGCCAAGACACGGGCTGGAGCTGGACGTGGTGAGGGAGGCTGCAGAGCTGGCAAGGTCGGCTTCGTGTCTTGGGGTGAGGGCCTGAATCTGCGTCTGGCCATTTGCTAAGGTGAGGAAGGCTGGGAAGAAGCAGGCTCTTGGGATGGGAGAATCACACTTACGTGAGTGCACGATGTAAAAGGTCTATTGTATGTGTTGGTTCTATAAGACTGGAAGTTTATTTCGGTTCCCATGGACTTTAATGGAGAAGTCTGTTCTGATAAACGTCAGACAGTGCCTTCAGCGTGCGTTTGCTGCTTTCAGGATGAGTAAGGTCCTTTCAAAAAGTTTAGCTTTATCTCCAAATCTGGGGTGTTTTCTACGGGAATTTCTTCTTCCCTGCAGTCTATTCTCACTGATACACAAGTTCTCAGTGTTTGACATGATCATAAATGGCGGTGCCTACTGCGGCCAGCAACAAGAGCTTGGGTCTCCTTGCTTCCAGCTGTGTGGTTCCATCGATCCTGAAGATACAAGTGGGGAACAAGGAATCACGGCCGTGACCCAGCAGTGTTGGTTAGCCTGTTTTGCAGAGGTGTGTGTGTGTGTGTGTGTGTGTGTGTGTGTGTGTGAGTTTCTTTTAGCAAGACTCCTTCTTTTCAGCATGGACACATGCTTTTATAAGGGGGAAAATGTCTCGGCCCCCAAAGGTCCATGTTTCTGTTGCAGTCATTTGGGTTCCGAAAACAACATGGCTTCCTTCAAAGAGAGAAGTTACAATGGCTTTTGGGGTCTCGTGGAAGACACCCCAGCCTGTCGCTCGTTTTTACATCAGTGCTTAACTGGCTGTAGGAGGTTGGAACTCTGCACCACAGTCAGTGGGTTTGTTCCAGGCTTGGCTGCGGGTTCCACAGTGCAAGTGAGGTGAGTAGCTGGTGACCTCGTTTCCTCACTGCAGTTGGCTCTTGGAAGTCTGCTACAAACCAGATTTCTACTCTCCTTTAGCTGTGCCACAGTGAAGACATCATTTTTAGTGTTAGAGATGGCCGAGGTTGTTGCAGAAACTTCTTCGTTTCTTCTTTTGTTTTCCAAACGAGGGCTGATTTTGCCTCAGAATTAGTCCATTCTGTAATGTCAGGACCCCGCCAGCAGATGGCAGTCGCACCATACTGCATTCTGGCAGAGGGCGAAGTTTTAGGGTCCTGGGAATCAGTCCTCTGTTGAGGGAGGGTCTCCTTTCTGTTCCTGGGCAGGTGGGTAACTTGTGTGGAGACTAGTTCCAGAGAACCTTCTTCATAAATCTATGAATTTGGCCTTGAAGTTAAAGATGTTCTTAGTTGGAAAAGGAAATAAAATTGAGTTGTTTTTTTTTTAAAGAAAAATCTTTAAATAAATCTGTCAAAATGAACTATGAGGTGAACA